CGTTCATCTCGTCTGCTTCCTGCCTGCAGATGTGACTTGAGCTGCCTCAGGCTCATGCCACCATAACTCCCCACCATGATGGCATATTCCTGTGTGCCAATAAACCTCCCCCCTTTATGTGTGTATGTGGCCAGCATTTGTCACAGCCACAAGGAGAGTCACTGATACAAACATCAGCAAATACCATCTTCTTGCTATGTCTTTCCATAGGAAAAAAGAAGCTGGGAGTGAGAGAGAACAGGTAAGACGGCTCTATCTATCATTTCATATGCATTAAACTTATCAGAGAGGCTCTAGCTCTCAAAGTTGCATTTACCAAAATAACTCCCAGATAACATTGGAAATAGCTTTCACGTTTTACATTGAGGCTGTGGGCACAACTCACTCAATAGTCTGAGTGAATATGCCCTAATTAAGAGCTAGGGGACCTCAGTGCCTTGCTCAATCAACATCAGAGATACCTCCTTCTGCAGCACATGTGAACAAATACAGAGACCCACATCCAGACGTTACTCAGTAAATGGGAGACCTTAAAACACTCATCCTTAAATGGGATGATTATATCAAATCCTTCACCTCAAGGCTCAGGAAACTCCACAGCAGAGGATGTGGAAAGATGGTAAGAGTCAGAGGGCATGGAGGACACCAGGAGAACAAGACCCTTAGAATCAACATGAGCAAAGCTCCTATGAATTCAGTGACCAAGACAGCATGAACGGAGCGTGGCCACACAGGTCACCAGGTCCTCACCTGATATGATTTCCAGTTTAGTGCTTTTATTGGAGTCCTCAGTGCTTGAATGAGTGGATCTGTGGTTCTTGTGCCTTTTCTTGGCTCTTTTTTCCTTCTGTGTGTTTGCCTTGTCCAATTTCAATGTTTGTTTTTGTTTTATCTTAGCATATTTTATTTTACCGTGTTTGATTTTGTTTCATTATTAATCCCTTAAAGGCTTGTTTGTTTTCAAGTGAGAGACAGAAAATCAGAGGATCTGGATAGGAGGGGTAGTAAGAGGAATGGGGAAGAGTAGAGGGAGGGGAGACCATAACCAGGATACTTTATATGATGAAAAATCCTGTAAATAAAAGTGAAAAGTGATTTTTACAGATATTTAAAATTCATGGAGAGTCTTTTCTGGATGGCCAAAGTGGGTCTTCAATTCAAGTGTTTGTGTGTGTGTGTGTGTGTGTGTGTGTGTGTGTGTGTGTTCTTATAAGAGAAAGCAGAGGATGATTCAACAAACACCGTAGTAATTGAAGTTTTTCAATACCAAGCTAATGAGTGTACACCCCTAGTAGTGGTTCTCCCTTCAGCCATCCTGGGCAGTGCAGTCCTGTCAGTACCTGGAATTTGTACATCTCTTATTCAGAACTATGAGACAATAAGTCTACATTTTTTGTGAGCCAAAAGTCTCTTTGTATCCAAGTTCTACGCCAAGCCAATTGAATGATGGAACCCTGCACTGAGTCCAAAGTGCCCAAGGTCCTGTCTCTGCCTCTGAATAAAGCCTGAAAACATGCATTTCCTATTCTAAATGCATTCTTAAATTAATGAGAGAGTCTTCATTGATAAGGACCAAAAATATCCCTGACCTTCCATGGTAATAATGCCTAATACCATATTTTATTTAAGCCCAAGACTACAAGATAAGGTATAGTCAGTGGTGATGTATGTTGGAGGTTGCCAGGTCCTGTAAATTTACTGTCATTTCTATCACAATTGGGAAAGAATTTTTAACCAATAGAGCAATAAGTATCTCCATATAATTATTTTGCACTGAAGATAATAATTGCAAATTACTCTATAGAGTAACATCAGAAATCTGGGTGGGTTTTTTTCTATTTTTAATTTCCCATAGTTTTTCTTTTCTGCTCTCATGCTGATCAATAGTGAATAAATCTAGCTTTGCCAAGTGAAATAAAGCAGTAGTCATAACTTTATGAGGAAATAGAAACACATCTAACCCCAATCTTTCCTTTTTAACCTGCCATCAGAGGAAATGCAAAAGGTCACCTCTTTACCCATATTTCTTAAGGAATTAGTCATATGTATTATTAAGTTGGCTCCATCCCCAAAGAATAGATGAGAGATGAACCACACTGAAGAAAAGCACATCATTACATTCAGAAAGCCATTTGCTTGCAACAGGAAATCAATGTAAAGCAGTCTTACAACATTGCATGACATTAAATGTCTATAAGCACTTTATTCTGCTTAAGTTGTGTGGTGTGTTCAGCCAACATTCTCCTTCTATAATCTCTCACAAGGAAAACTCATCTCCTTGCAAAACCATGGGGATCACTCTGAAAGTAATAGCTTTCTAAAACCCATCTCTATCCCTACAATCCCTCTGAGCTCCAGAAGCTGTGTGGTCCAATGGCTAAGTATGAATAGAAATGCTTGGGAGTCAGGATATATGTGTGCAACTCCCAGCCTCCACTCAGATGCCAAACTACTTGCCTTAAGTAAGCCTCACTTTATCATCATTAAGTCAAAGAAATCTACACTGCCCCAGGCCTGGCAACAACCACTGGATAAATGGGACAGTTACTTCATTATTATTATTAGGTCTTGACAAGTAGATGTCCCAGGAACGCCTTGAAGTTAAATTGTCTAAAATTGAATTCATTATTCATCCCAAATACTTGATTACTTTCTGTGACACTATCATACTACCAAGAATGATATTCAACACTATCATCCTACCAAGAATGTGATCCTTTGGGAGTTATGCCAATTTTCCTTTTCTCTAATCCCCTTCCTAGTAAGTTTTAGCTCTTTGAAGAACAATCTGTAAGTAAAATTATGTATATTTAATTGTACATTTACAAATACATATATAATTGCATATTTACATTATATATACATAAAATAATTGTGTGGATCATGTTAATTTACATATCTATCACCACACATGACTATCTACCTTTTTCATTATGCATGTTTTTAATTTATTGTGGAGAAAGTTACGATACACTGTCTTAGCAAATGTCAAGTATACAACATAGTGCTATTAACTATGGTCAGCGTGTCACGTTAGACAATCAGAACTTAATCAGTTTAGAAATGAAAGTTTGTGACACTTACCCAAGATCCCCCTGCATCAATTCTCTGGAAATAACCAAGTTTGGGCAGTGTTTTTTTTTACTTAAAGAAGTTGAAATTTTTCCTGTGCCTTTGTTTAAGATTGCACTGGTATTACACAAAAAAATGCAATGAAATATTATTCCACCAAGAAAATAAGTATTTCCATTGTCAGCAATATGGATGAACCTGGAGGATATTATACTACCAGAAATATGCCACAGTCACATTCTGTGTGGCAACACCTACATCGTTCTCCTTTATCTTTGTAATGACTCATCATCAGTACATCTTCATCCATCACTACTTTCGTGACCTAAATTCAGGTCATCATGACTTTAATACCTCAACCTTCCTATAATTGGTCCCTTGGGCTTTCATCTTTTGACCTCTCATTGCTGCCTAAGTTCTTCCAAACAGTGGATATGAAAGCGATGCTGAGAGCACTCAAGTATGTTCCCTAATAATTCATTCAAAGACATTTTTCATAAAAAAGAATATATAGATTATTTTTTAGTTTTCTGAAATTAAAATATAATGCAACACTTTCCCCCTTCATTTTCCTCCAACTCTTCTCATGTTGATCTTTGTAAACACATGGCCTCTATTTCTTTAATTGTTGTAATGCACAAACACTTGCATAACCAAACACACACACACACATACTCGCATGTGCATGCACACACACACGCACAGATGCACACAAACCCATATGCACACATACATATCTCTAGATGTATAAATGCAACCAACTCAGTCTGCATACATGTCAGAGAAGCTAGTCCCATAAAATCTCACCGTCACAGCTGCTTAAATAATACCTGAAGAATACCAGTACACTTTCTAACATGGAAAGGGGAACTCTCACATTGGGGAGGACCTCAACTCTGTCCAGTGAAATACAGACAACAAAAGAATGCTGGGAGCAGGAGCATATTCTCTTCCCACAAGAAAAGATCCACAATTGGTTATTAAATACCAAATGGGAAGTTCTGGACACAAAGAGAAGCTTGAGGACAGACAGCTCAGCAATTAAAGGCACACGCTGCTCTTCTGAAATCAAGCTCCCACCAGCCTGCCTAAGAAGGTTTTCCCTATAGTCTTCACAGGAGGCTCTCATACTAACTCAACTTGTGATAAATGTCATTAATAGGAAACATTTGATCCAGTAGGCTTTCTTGAAAATAAATATAATAATGTGCACACAGCCTACAAACCTACCTGGAAGTAAACAAGACAGATTATGAAGGAGAACAATATTAATATGTGCATATAGGTTTAATCTCAATGGTATTCTCACTTAAGATTTTACACTAATCACTCATTAATTCTAATAACTCTGATTAGTTTTGACAATGTTGTCTCATTTGTGCCTTTCTATCCAAGTTAAGCTTTGCGGGACTTTGTTTTATAAATAGCTAATACTGATCAACGACTTAAAATTCAAAGTTAACCTAAAAGGCTATTATCCTAGCTCCTTATCTGTTGCATCCTAGCTTTGAGTCTGTTGCTATGACAGAAAACAAAGAACTCTGACAGAAAGCAATGCAGAATAGAAAAGGGTTTATTCAGCTCATGTTTCTAGGCTATAGTCCATCACAGAAGACAAGTCTCGGTGGCAAGAGCTCAAAGCAGCTACGCACACTGTGTCCACAGTGAAGTAAGTGCATAGACCCTCTCTGGCTTAGCAGGTTAGTACTCCGCCATCTTCTCCACTCATATCACTCAGAGCTAAAACGGTGAAATGTTGCCACCCTGCATTCAGCTGAGGTCTTCCTACATCAATTAACAATCATGACAATCTACCACACACATGTACCCGGGTCAACTGTGCTAGTTAAGTTTTCTATTGCTGTGAAGAAACACCATGACCACAGCAACCCTTATCACAGCAATGCATTTAATTGGGGCTTACTTACATACTCAGAGGTTTTGTCCATTGTGATAATGGCAGGAAGCTGAGATTTCTATATCCAGATTGTCAAGCAGCAGGAAAAGATTGCCACAGTGGGCCAGGCTTCAGCATCTGAAACCGACAAGCCCAAGCCCATTGACACACTTCTTCCAACGAGGCTCCACCCACTCTAACAAGGTCATGTCTTCTAATAACGCCCCTCCCTGTGAGTCTATGAGACCAAGCTTCACTCAAACCATTACATTAGCCTTGTCTAGACAATGAATTACTAGGACATGCTCCAAGGTGATACTAGGTAGTATTACATTTAAAGTTGAGAATAACCAACACTGTCATTACAGGAATTATCAATAAAATCTGATTGTATATTCCTAAAAATAATGACATTTCCCTCTTTCAGAATATTTAAATTCAAAAGAGAGGAGTAGGATACCATAAACTCCTTCTCCATTCTTGACTGGCTGTTGACAAGCTCAGTCATGTACAGGCACAATGCAGACAACCACAGCAACTATGAAATCATAATTGCAATGGCTGCATCATGCCCAGAAGGTGCATTTTGTCACACTTCTCCCTGCCTACTTGCTTTTCCCCTTCTGTGTCAATATTCCCTGAGCCTTAGAAAAGGCGGTATAAGGTCTCGTTTAGGGCTGAACACTCAATCATAGCCTATTCAAAATGCCTGGAGCATACAACCATCTTTATACTCACATACATGCATTGAAAAGAGAGATTTCTCTGATTGAGTACGAATATAGCATTTGTCTAAGATGACGAGCATTGAGGTTTAGAAGGCAGGTTAACATCTGTCAGTTTAAACAAGAGTAATAAGTTGCCCCTAGGACATGTGATTACTAGAGCTGTGCATTTTTACTGAATTTACAGTACCTTACTTGAAGTCTCTCCTGAAGAGACATCAAATCCAAACAGAGGATAGTTGGTTTCCAATAACTGCAATGCCACTACTACACATAGTGTAGTATTACATATTTTTATGTGGGTACCCAGGTGATTTTATTATTAAGGATCTGTAATATAACTTGAGATAAAGTATTTTATCACCTCTAACTTTATCATTTTTGTCTGGGATTGTTTTGGCTATCCATGGTGTGTGTGTGTGTGTGTGTATGTGTGTGTGTGTGTGTGTGTGTGTGTGTGTGTGTGTTTCCATATGAACTCGAAAATGTTTTTCCTGTTTTGTCAAGAAGTCATTGCAGATACTGATTGGAATTTCTTCTGTAACTGCTATGGGTAGGATTGTGGTTTTCACAATATTCTTTCAATTCAAATTTTTGGAAAATATTTCCATGTTCTAGAGTCTTCCTCAGTTTCATTCTACAGACTTTTAAAGATTTCATGGTGAAAACAAGGAAGAAGAATTCTCATTTCTGTTGGACACAAAGGTTAAAGAAAGTGAAAATTGAAATCTGTCTTATGCTTAGTTAAAACAGAGGTATACCCATCAGGAAGTGGCATAATTCACTTATTAACTTTAAGATAGGCTGCAAATTTTTACACTTCAGTAGAAATTTGTGTGTCACTATTATTTTTATGTAGTACCATTTTCCATATAATACCTGACTTGGAGCAAAAATCTGTGTACATGGATGAATACACACAAATAGGGGACAAAAACTGAGTGGGGTCTTCATTTAGCAGTGTTCTTCCAAGCAGGAGTGATATATACCAGAGGAAAGTGATGAAATCTGCTTTCATGGGAATTATATTCCTATCAGGAGAAACAGTCTCTACCCAGTGCTTCTAGGTAAAATATGAAATAACCATTACATATGAAAAGAAAGTAAGATCATAAAGATATAGAAGGGCTAAATTACAAGAAAAATAGTAAAACTGATAATGTGGATATAGAAATTGGGAGGTTAGAGATGAAGTTACCATTTTGAGGTCTATAATTAGGGAAGGTCTACAATAAAGAAAACACCTAGGTAAATACCTATCTTAATCACTGTTCTATTTCTGTGAAGAGACACTTTGTCCAAGGCAAATTTTGTAAAAGAAAGAATTTAATTGGGGGCTTGCTTACAGTTATGGAGGTTCATTATCATCATGGCAGGGAGCATGACATCAGGCAGGTATGGGGCTGGAGAAGTACCTGAGAGCAAGATCCTGATCCACAAACAGAGAGAGAAAGAGGGAAGAAGAGAGAGAGGGGGAGGGGAAGAAATAAAGGAAGAGAGAGCAGAAAATAGGCCCTGGCTTGGGCTTTTGAAACCTCAAAGGCCACTCCCAGTGACACACTTCCTCTGACAAGGCCACACCTCCTAATACTTCTAATCCTTTTAAATACAGTCACTTCCTAGTGACCAGGCATTTTAATATATGAACCTATGGCGGTCATTCTTATTCAAAACAACCCAATACCTAAAAGAGGAATAAGTCACAATTATCTACAGGATAGCTAGGGGGTGAAGCATAAGCAAGAAATCTTGGAGTGATTTCATTTGAGCCTGAATCACTGAGCTTCCTATTACAGAATTGTTCAGCACTGACAGTGTGTAAGTGGCTACCACAACAATTTTCCATAGAAAAGTCTACTTTGTAACTATTACATAGCATCCGCAGATATGAGAGCTTTTACCATTCACATTTCACCACCGGCAAAGTGATTCTTGGGAATGTGTTAGTGACTATACCTATTTCCTGAAATAATCAAACCCTGTTAGATGTGTCCTATGGCTAACTAACAGTCACAACCATCTTCTTCTGTAGTACATATTTAATTATCAATGAACACACAGTGTGGCTTATCTGTATTAAGTGCTTAGAGAAGAAGCAATTTCAATAACATAGTAATGATGATTAATTTAATGACTCCTCCCAAAAGTTCAAAGCCAAATAAATACACATTCACCTGTTCTCATAAGGTAGAGCTGTAGTTTGCAAACAGCCATGGTTTGAATGTGGTTGAAACATCAGCCAAGACTTTGTGGGTTAAAAGGGAATCTGGGCAAGAGGCATTAGGAGATTGAAAACTTTTATTCATAAACAGGTTCTGTGGAAGGTGCTTAGAGTTAAAATAGGTCATTAGGGATCTGCTTCTGTCACTGAAGCCCTGCAGCGTTAGAAGTAGAGAAAAAGATACACAGAGAAAAACAGAGACAGAGACAGAGGAAGAGGAGGCAAGACTTGCATCTCCTACACTGTAAGCCTACCCTTTTTTCTTTACTATTGACCCATTCTGTGTTATTGTATTATTAGCAAAAGGAAAAGGACTAATGGTTTCAGTAAAAGATTTTTCCATTGCTTTTAGCACCTAAATGCTGCAAAAATTCAAAGGCAAAAGCATAATTAAACAACCCTTGTCAACTACCTATTCTAGAACACAACCAAATTAACTCTCCTCTTTGAAAAGACTAGCCAGCTCCCAGGGCACCAGGTATGTACATGGTGCAGACAAAATACACATATACATAAAAATAGATAAATAAATAAATGAAATACTAGCCATGTAGCAGATGCCAGAACCACATTTTCACAGCATGAGTGAACATCATCAATACTGGCTGCCATGAAAACAAGTCACATAAGTTCTTGGATCCCCAGAGCTTTCCACTGAGAACTATGTCTGATAAAGGTACTTGCTTCCTGGGAGATAAGTGGATTAACTGAGTTGCTTTAACGACTTGAGGGAAAGGAGGGAATCTGGAACAGTGTCACTACTGCTTTAGTAGTGTACTACATTAAACAAACAGGAGACTGTAGTGGCAGGTTATGTGGTGTGAAATACTAGACAGTCTACTTTCTAGCTGTGTGTCCTAGTTTCACTTCTGTTTCTGTGATCAAATACTCTGAAGACGTAGGGAAGAAGAGGGCTTGTTTCAGCCTGCAATTCTGGGCTACCGTCTCTCACTGTATAGAAGTCAAGGCAGACACTACAAAGAACTAGACACATTCATCCACAGTCAAGTACAGGGAGAGATGAGTGTTTACATCCTCCCCTGTAAGTAAGCAGCTCAGTCTCCCTGCTCTTGCACGGTGCAGGACACACTGTCTAAGGGGTAGAGCCACTCATAGAGGGATAAGTCTTCCTCCATCTATTAGTTAATTAAGGTCATTTCCCACATGATGTCTACAAGTAAACCCAACACTGATAATGGCTCATTAAAATTTTCTTCCCAGGTGATACAAGGTAGTGTCAAGCTGACAATTAAAACTTACCATCACATTTTATAATTTAGAAAAGTCATTTAATACTTCACTGTCCCCACTTTCTCTGTGATAATATAAGAATAATATAACTTCCAATTTCACAGTGTTCTTATTAGTATAAAATAATTGAATATATACATGTATATAATGATTAGGTCACCAACCAATGAACAATGAATACTGTGTTTTTGACAATATTAAAATTGCTATGATGTGTCACTTAGACTTATTTAAAGTTGTTTCTTTTAGTTTTTGATTAAAAAAATGCATGAACACTGATTGCTTTTAGACTTTTTTGGCTGTTATCAAAAGTAAAGGTATTTAGAGAAATATTGTGTCTCATTATCATCTAACAAATTGAAAGCATATTCTTAACAGTTCAGCATTGTATTAAATTATTTAGTTACGTTGCTGTAAACCTCCCTCTAGTCATTACTGACATGGAAATTCAAGTGGATTTAATTTTACTTTCCCCTTCTGCAATTACCCTAATCTTACAAAATAGGTGTTTTGAGTATTCACTCATGTTTGACAGTAAAAAACCCTAGTAATTTATAAACATCTATGCAACACATATTCTTCCTTATTACAGTATACTTTGGGGCTTTTGCTTAACTGCATAGAAGGGAAAAGAAATTGAACTTACAGCTGTAATTAGTTATGCTGAATATAATGGATATTGGCAGTGAACATCTTTTCTACATCATTGTGCCAACTCCACATCCAAAGAACCAAGGACCCAAGAAAAACCACAAACAGTAGTTTAAATGGTTGATTTGCTTTATTTTGCTTTACATAAAGTATTGTCTTTATGCTTACTCGAATCACAGAGTTTCCAGAAGCCTAAGTTGCTATATAATAAGCTTGACTGACATACTTAGCAGAGTTGGTAAGACAGGACGGATGTTGCTAGTACCACTCCTGATCTTGCTTGACAACAAGGAGCATGTGGGCTTTATCCCATGTTCTTAATAATAAAGCCCAGAGTCAGATATTGGGGTTCAAGTTGAAGATAAGAAAGGCAAAGCAGCCAGCCACTAGCTCTTACCTCTACCTCGACTGAAATGGAGAGACCCTGCCTCCACAAATTCTCAGACTGCAATCCCCTGTCTCCTCCCACCGAGTATTCCTTTCTCTGCCCAGCCATATCACTCCTGTTTCCACCTCTCTAGTCCTGGGATTAAAGGCGTGGGCTCTGCTTCTATTTTAGACTGATTCACTCTCATGTAGCCCTGGATGGCCTTGAACTCAAGGAGATCCATCTGCTTCTGTCTCCTGAGTCCTGGGATTAGAGGTGTGTGCCACCAC